AATAAATATTAATAACCAAAGGATAGATTTCCTCTTTGGAGTAACTGGTTCTTGTCCAGACTCCAGGCAATAACGTTAATCAAAACTCTTAGATTTTTTTTTTACTGTTAGTCTATTTCAGACTGCAATGAAGAATTTTAAATTAAATGTGGTATTCCAATCCTTCATCCAGGATTATTGCAAATAAAATTTTCCTCATCTTTTCCTTTTGTTCTATCTCATCAAGGATCAGAGGCATCCATGAAGTGGAAAGAAATGATGGAATGACTATTGTGCTATTGTGATTCAAGCTTTGGTCCCTTTGCAAATGCATGGTGACATCATGCACACCTACAATATGAGCAGATGTTGGATTACAATGGTGCAACACTCCTTTCATCATTTTGATAAAAGAATTGGAACCTGCAATAAAGGATATACTTTTATTGAGGATGTGCCTTATCTCTGTCTTCTTATATTTAATTTGATATTGAGACTATTGTTCAGGCCATAGAAATAAAGCCCTGGCATAAAGCCAGCTGGAATTGAACACAAAATTATTACTCCATGCTGATATCTTATTATTATGAAAATTGTATATTAGAATTCATTAATGCATTAAAAAAAAGTTTGGAAAGTTATGAAGTTACTCATTTAGCTGATTTAAGTATCATACATATCCTATAAACTCTTAAGATAGTTATGGAATTTTTACTTGGTGTCTAAACATGCTTAAATATTTCAACAGATTAATATTGATGTAGAAATATGGTAAAACAAAACAAAACACCACCCTCAGTGAGTTTACTGGATGGTAAAATTAGGCAGCTGATGGTCTCATTTGTCCAATAGTAGGTGGGATGCTTATGCACAAACACATACATTGGCTCTTAATGAATGCTGGATATTACCCAAAGTTGACTCACCCTTCCATCCTTCCGAGGTCAGTAAAATGAGGACCCAGATTGTTAGGGCAATATGCTTGCTGACTCTGAAAACCTCTTAGAGAGGGCTCTAAAACACTATTAAGTAGTATGTAAGTCTAAGTGGTATTGCTATTACCACCTGCCACTTTTACACACCATCTACTAAGAAAGACTTGTGCAGACTGCAAAGGACTTCCCATTGTAAGGTCTCGGGTTCCACTCCCAATTCTGTATCTTTATGGGTGCCCTCCAGGGTTTTGAGAGGAATTCTTTGCACACATATCTGGATATTCATTTGACTATGTCTTTGAAATAGTCTTTGGCAACAAGTCAGTCTATTGAGCATGGTTGTGCCTACAGTGACTAGCAGCAGCTCAATTTGAGATCAGGGTTTTTCCCCAGCTCGTTCTCTACCCACTGGTATTGAACTTTGGACTTTTCCATGCAAAGCATCGTTTCTGCCACTGACCTATGGCTTTTCATTGACACTGTCCCATCCCCGAGCAAGGATTCTATTTCATCATGGAGATTCCATTACAATATAGATATTGTACATTTTATTATAATTGAACCAGATCATTGAATCTACAGCTTAACTCACAATCTAGAAAGAGAGAGAGAGAGAGAGAGAAGAGGAAGAGAAATATTTTCTACAACATATTTTGTTCCTGTTTGCTATCTCTTGCAGAGACTGCCGATGAATGCTAGGAAGACTGAACATTTTCCCTGATAAACCACCTTTTTCTGTTCATTACTGCTGGCTGGGTTTTGCTGTTATAGAAACTAGAAAGCCAGGGAGAATGCAATAATGGGGAGGAGCACTGTGGTTGCAGTCCTTGTTAACTTGGTTTGGAAACTGCTGTCCATTAATCAATGTTTAATATTGTCAAATTGGTCATAGAGTGCCAACCCACACAAAGGCTGTGTGTGATTTAATGGGAGAAGTTTTGACCAAACTCATTGCCTGCCCTCCTTCCCAAACACTTATAAAAACAATAAGAATATAAATTGTTGAACGCTAGACAGAACAGAACTCTGTTCTGCAAACAGACAAGCCTCAAGCCATATTTTTTAAAAATGGAGTCCGTTATTCCTTTCATCTTGTCAACCAAACCAGACTTTCTTTATGTTATAATTGTGCCTGGTAGTGCTTGATCTCCACAATCCCAGAGGTACTTGGTGTGCCATTTAAAAACAGAGATAAACAGAAGTCATTTTCCTTCAAAACATTTTCAAACTCAGACTGACTAAACAGGTTCAAAATAATAAAGGTTTCAGAACACAGGAAGAATTATTTGGCCAAAACCCATCAATTATACCCCATCCCCCAATATTTCTACCAGTGGTGGGATTCAAACTTTTTTACTACTGGTTCTGTGAGCGTGGCTTGGTGGGCATGGCAGGGGAAAGATATTGTAAAATCTCCAGTCAGAGGTGGTATTTGCCGGTTCTCCGAACTAATCAAGATTTCCGTTACCAGTTCTCTAGAACTGGTCAGAACCTGCTAAATACCACCTTTGATTTCTACACTGAATTTCAAAATACTATTCTGGAGTCTAAAATTTGGCTATTAAAAGTTGAGGGCTCAGATTTGGTGGCTCTGGGCCTAAAAAATCTGGAGGATGATAACAGCCCATAAATTTGTATGACAAAAATTCTTTCAAAATGTCTGCCTTATTTTGGCTTTGGAATGGCTATAGGTCAGAATTAATTGTTCCAGTTTCTACAGGAACAACTTCTGGAGAGAAACCTTCAAACTAAATGGGATGATTTGCAGATTTCATATCTATGGAGCAGAGAAAACCTAACCAACAGAGCAGTGTTTCTCAACTTCAACAGCTTTGAGCTTCAGCAACTTTAAAATATGTGGGCTTCAGCTCCCTGAATTTCCAGCAGGCTGGCTGTGGAATTTTGGGAGTCAAAGTTCACACACTTCAAAGTTTCCGAGATTGAGAAATGCTGCAATAAAAAGTGCTTCCACAGATGTTATAGACCCATCATTTTATTTTTATTATGCTAACAAAGGATCTACCAATATTTCTGTTCCCCTATCTTGCATGTCTTCAGCTATTCAAATCAATTTGTTAGTCCTCATTGTGTCTTTTATTTTTTTAGAAATACCCTTTGACTTGATTGAAAAGGTTCTTAATAGATTTCAGTGGCTTGTCAAGGAAATCCTATAGATGCATGTAGAAAATGTGTAGAAAATCCTATAGGTGCATGTTTCTTTCCTGCCCTCATGGTAACTATAATGCCCTACAGCAGGTCCTCCAACCTCTGGGCCCCAGTGGGCTGTGATGTGTTTGCAACCGGGCCGTTGAAACAGTGGGCAAGTGTGGAGGTGCGCATATGCGTGAGCAGCAGGTGAGTGTGTGCATGTGTGCTCCATTTGCATGAGTGGCAGACGGGTGTGCACGCTGCTAGTGCAAATGGAGCTGTGGATATGCTAGCGCTTGCCAGCTGCTCGTGTGGACTCTCTCCCCCAGCTCTGCTGGTCCTCAAGACCGGAAAGATTTACGCCCATTTGGGCATTTTGCATTAAAGCTATCATTTGTGTACTGTAAACTGTACTGAGTTTTGACATGGTTTGCAAGGAAGGTACCTGGTTCTGCTCTAAATTACATTACTGCCAATTCCAGCACAGCTCACCTGTACGATTAGAAACTCTCAATCTCTCCCTTTCTCTTCTGGTTTTGTTTAGCTGATTGAAGAACTTGTCGTCCAAGTTCAACAGCTCGAGGTGTGTAGATTACTATTCATACAAAGTGCTTTTTTATACTACATCAAGCTGACAGTCCACCATTTCCAACAACCCTTGGGCTTTTTCGCCAGCTTGCTGTCATGGGGCAGAGGATAGTATCATCTGTCAGTTCAGATTATTTGTCCAGCTAGCTCTTCACTGTTTGCTCTCAGCAGCAGTTCTCCAAAGTATTAGGAAGGGAACAATCAAGAAATATCACTTGGACCTTTTCAACAAATATACCTGAAATCAATTTGGTTTCTGCAGGTGGCAGCATCTACCAGGAAATGCTTGGCATCTGTTATTAGTGACTATATTCAATAATCTCAGGGTGCAGCAATTAGGCTGTGGCTGGTTTTAGGCCCACAGAGGTGAACCCTCTTTTGAAAGCTAAAAATTCAGTATTCATCTCTGCATCCTTTTGAAGCCTTCCTTCCTTCCTTCCTTCCTTCCTTCCTTCCTTCCTTCCTTCCTTCCTTCCTTCCTTCCTTC